GCCTCCCCCCTGTTGGTGAGGCTTTGCAAGGGCCTTTCCTTGGGTTGAAGGCCTTGCAGAGCCTCATGTTCACCCCTCCATATCACAGGGGCTGCAGTGGGACGTTTTGCCTTAGGCGCCAAAGCATCTTGGGCCACCCCTGAGTGAGTATTTAATCTATCGGTCAGTCAGTTAGTATTAAGAAGGTATACGTATCTGCAACCTGATTAGCTTTGTCACCTAGTGACTGGCAAAGAGAAGCAACCGGTCTTTTTCCTGTCCGCTTCCAGCTGCTTCGTCATTGCCTCATCTGCATTGTCCCATCTTTTTATCTATCCAGTTATTTTTGGAGTTTATTTGGGAATGGTCCCCTGCTGTTTTGGAATCCTCAAAGCAGGACCAGCAACCACAGAGCAAGAATGGAAGGTGAAGGGCATCAAAAGGACCTGAATATTTGGGGCACCCAGGGCTGCGTTAGGAAGTGTTAGGGGGAAAGAATGGTCATTAGGTGGGTTGGGCAGTTGGCTGAACTGATTGCTGCACATCCCTCCCCGATACAACTGGTGGAATAAAAGAGCTAAAACTTCACTAAACTGAGACTTCCATCTACAGGAGGAGCTGAAAATGAGGCATGTTGCTAATATCACTTATGGGAAGGAGCGGAGAATTTTGTAGAATTCTTTGCTGGTTTATTTGGGAGTAGGATTTGGGTCTGGTCTGGTGTGACCTGGCAACTGATCTCACTTGCTGAGTTGCTGAATGCTAGTGGCTAAGTGCCACCTTGGCAGCTGAACATCAAAGACAGCACAGACCCCCTGCCAGTGCGCCATGGGTTCTTCCACCCATCCAAAGAGAAAATTTTATTTCGGGGGGGGGTGTTAAAGGCCCTGGAAGTTACGTTCATGCTGGTTTATATTATCCATTTATGTGGCTAATAATTTTCAGCTCCACATTTTTAAGAGTTGGGGGCCTTTCTTGCATTACCCCCATGTGCTGAGCAACAGTTCCTTTTATCTACAGGAAACTACAGTATCTGATCTGCTTTTTCTATTAATGTTTAATCATTTTAAATTATTCGTCCCTAGGTTTTTAGCTGTTCTTATTTTATTTGTTGGCTGCCTTGAGTCCCAGTCAGGGAAAAAGAAGAGTTTGGATTTGATATCCTGCCTTTCACTCCCTTTAAGGAGTCTCAAAGCGGCTAACATTCTCCTTTCCCTTCCTCCCCCACAACACTCTGTGAGGTGAGTGGGGCTGAGAGACTTCAAAGAAGTGTGACTGCCCAGCAGATGCATGTGGAGGAGCGGAGACGCGAACCCGGTTCCCCAGATTACGAGACTACCGCTCTTAACCACTACACCACACTGGCTCTCAGGCAGGGAATGAATGAATGAATGAATGAATGAACAAGCAAACTTACAAATTATTATCCAGACATTGTTTTCTCTTTTTCCTCACCCTACTCCAGAACAAGAATCAAGTCTTTTGCATTTGGCAAGTGGAGAAGAATTGACTTCCAAACACTCCACAATATTGGGGTTCTTAGATTTTGGGGTGTACCTGTGCCAAATTACTATAATTACTCTACATGGTGTTAATGGCAGAAAGATTACATACCCACATGTCTTCAGATACAGTGGCAGATGAAGTTAGTTCACTTTTTGATATTCAATGAGAATTCAAAGAGCACATACTAGCCTAACTTCTTGTTGTGGTGAGGAGGACCATGTATGCCCTAAGAGAGGAAAGGTAGGATATAAATTTAATTTAATTTAACTTCATAAGTAATAGAAATATTTGCAGGAGCACAAAAACAATTACTGGGGCACTGATGATGAATTAAAAGAAGTAACCCACAGAGAGAGAATTACTTAAAAATAAAGGAATGGGTTGTTTGAGCTTCCTCAGCAGAGACAGTATAAATATAGTTCAGCTGATATTGGTCAGTCCCACCTCCACAGGGTGCAAAGAGATCAAAGAAGACACCCATTCTGAAAGAGAGACAGTGTGTGCACTTAAATTCCTCAAGGGGAGATCTCCAGAAAAGAATAAAGCACTTTAAAATCCTTCCAACCCTGCTAACATCTACTGAAGGAAGAAAACACAGCACCAAGGATTGAGCAGACCAGAGAGGCAAGTCAATCAGCCATCCACCTCTTTGATCAGTCCAAAGGTACAACTAAAGAGAGAGGTGTGTGTAATTGGAGGTGAGCTGAATGTCTGGTGGGAGGCAAGTCTCACACTTTGAAAATCCTGGCTTTAGAACGCATAATCACAGATGAGGACATTTAGCACTAATAAATGGGTTGTTTTTGTTTTACCTTACTGTGCTGGTTAATATAGCAGTTGAGTTTGTTAAGCATTTCCCTTAGACATTAGTGTATTGGAATGTTTATAACAAGGCTGCAAGCTTTAATCTATGGAAAGAATGCTATCAGGTTGTGCGTCAGCAAAAAAGATGGCAATTTCTTCTAGCTTTTGTATAGGTTGCTAGTAAAAGATGCTTGCTGAGTGGACTTGGATGGCCAGTTTTTGCAATCCAGAGCGAAACTGCTTTACCATTTGAAATGTGGCTAGTAAAAGAGACAAGACTTCATTTTTGCAGCTGCAAAGGCATGCTATTGCTTTTGGGGAACTGGTGCTGCTTTAAAGATTAGCCGGGTCTTAAGCACAAGCTGCTTGCAACTCCCTCACAGCGCTCAGCTGAGATGTTTGTAGATAAACAGAAATGCCATTAAGGCTATGTACACATCAGCAGCTTGAAACGCATTAACATTTCAAGTCACATTCTTAAGTTACTTGTACAGACCCCCGAAGAGGTAGATGTCTTCATTTGATACTCATTACATGATTTGTTTCCCCTGCACCACACTCCAATTCACTGAAGCGGTCGTCTCCATGTGTGCAATGGTTGCCTGAGGTATACACATCTCTGCTTAACTGGCTTCCATTTTCAAATTGGATTGAACCTGATTTGAGGGAAAGCCCATCAAACAGGAGTAGTTCTCAAGGAGCCACAGAATAATCATGGATTGTGGCTAATGTTATATCTACTCAGCTTCAAACACCAGCAGTGAGAGTATGCTGGAGTAAGCCATAATGTGTACACAGCATAAGGTCTTATTCACTTCTTCTTCTTATTATTATTATTATTATCATTATTATCATTATCATTACTTATTATTTGCTCCAGAGCTTTCTCAATGAAAACCCACTCTTTAAACCTAAATTGGAGCAAACAACAAGCCACAGAAAACCTGAATTGCTGTTTGTTCTGCTTCACCTTTAAACAGTGGGGTGGGTTTGTGGGGAAAGCTCTGGAGCAACAACAAAAGTGAGCTTAGACATGGAGCTTCAAAGTGCAAACCTGTGCCTAGAAAGAGGAGGGCAAAATGTAAGTGTGGACAAGCCCTATGTCTCTTCTCGGAAGGGAACAGCCATCTAAAAGGCTGCTACTCAAACTTCCTTACCACTTGAGGAAAGGTGGAGAGCAAAACACTGTTAATCAGTACAATTAATCAACCAGAGCTTGAGTTACAGGTTAAAATACACTTACGTCCCAGTTAATTACTGAAGCTTATATAAGGTGCCCTGGGCCTTGGGGTCCCAGTATGCAGACCACAAAAATGCCCCAGCTCCATCCTATCTGGGCCAACTCTGGTGAATAAAAGGGAGAAGCTGATTTTCCTTTCTGTTCCTTATATGTTTCTACTGTAGATTAGCAGGTAATTTGGACGTGGAAAATATTTTACACATACGTGAAATGGCCCTCCTCCTTCAGAAACATAATTTATGGGGAAATATATAATATTTACATTTATTTTGGTGTCATCTGGTTACATTAAAGTAGAAAGGTAGTTGGTTACGTTCACACACTGATTGAGGTGTTGTGATGAATAAACCAAGTTAATGCAAAACCGTTCTTTGGGTGCATCACAACGTCACAAAATAGAAGCAAGCTTTTGATTCTCCAGAAACCTTCAAGCCAGATGTTACAAAAAGCAGTTACAAACAAAACAAATTGACCTGGTGTTAGAACTGTAAGATCTGAATTTAGATGGGAATTACAGACGAGAGTGGCACACTTGCCATGCAAGATACACTTTCTGAAATTCCTTCTTTTGCACAGCTCTTAAAAGTGTTGGAACCCTGATTTCTTTTGCATCTGGCCTCCGTGGTGCATCGTGGGCAGGTGGCAACATAGAGCGCTCTGAAGGATGCTCATGTGATTCTTTGACAGCATGACTAGCATTTTTAGGCCCAGTAACACTGCTGCCAACTAGGATGAAAGGCAGATCTGGCATTGTGTTATATTCAGGGCTTGGTTCTTAGATGTTATTTGTCTGTTGGGTGGTTTACTGCTCTGGCTGATTCAATATGCTGTCTGAAAGCAAAGACCACTTTTTCTGCTACCACAAAGAGCTATTATTTTCTGGGTTAACTAAAGAATTTGCTACAGAACATTTGAATAGAGACCGGTCTGGAGTAGCGATAGCCAGTGTGGCAAAGAGTTGGGAGAATCTAAGGTCAGGAATAGTGTTGTGTATGTCATGGGGAGATCACGTGAAACTGATGGGTCTTGGGACATTGCAACCTGTAGCTGTAGGCATTTTCTTGAGAAAAGTTAATACCGAAATGCCAGATTCTGCTGCATATTTCCCCCCAAATACATTGCCACTTGCAGAACTACAGGTTTCTGTAGCTTTAGCCTCTATTTGCATGGATGAAAAGAGACTTCATTTCTAAACAGCACAATCTATTTTCACATTTTCGGCTCCATCCCCAAATCTAGAATTTTTTTTTTCATTCCAACTTCTTTGCATCTTCTTGATGGGAAATACAGGCAGCAATAGCAAAAGTCTGTTAAAAACAACAACCAGGGTTCCACTAACTTGTTAAACAGAAAGAGAGACTAGAAGTGCCAAACCCTGTGCGAGGAAAAAGGAGAGAGAGAGAGAGAGAGAGAGAGAGAGAGAGAGAGAGAGAGAGATGTAGTTATTTATAACGCCAAGCAGCTTTAAGGTCTTTTCACTCTGCTTTGCAAACTGCCTGCTGCTTGGAGGTCACTCCAAAAAACATCACAGCAGAGCCCATGGTCTTCCAGCACAATATTTGATCAGGAATCTGGGCGGGTACCAACCTTGGCAAGTTGAAACTTGCACCTACATGCTCCATAATACACAAGAGGATCACACAGGCGAACTCTGAAGCTGTGGGAAAAGGTGTCTCTGAATCTAGGTGAGTTGATTTCTGAATTGCATATTTTGTGAGAGGATGTTTCAGCAATCCCTGGTACAAATGGGCCAAATGCAATTGCAGCATCGTGCTAACTTAGGAGGTCAGCATGTGAGCTGCACATGCAATAGGATGAGTAGCAAGGGTACAGACCTGTTTTGATTATTGGGGAAGGGAACATTTTGACCTCATTAATCATGACTTCTCTTCCTCCATAATTTGTGAAATTCTTGGCAGTGGGAGGCAAGATGAGACACACACACCATCTTGCCAGATCCCTTTGCCTCCCTCCAGTTTATGCCCGGGACACTGTGTACCTGGCTGCATCATTTGCATCAAAGTGTAGTGCATATTGGTGAAAATGAAACCAGGGGGAGGAAATAAGAATTGTTAACTCTGAATTATGACTAGTATGTGAAGATTATCATTGAGACATCAACTCTGCAATGTTCTACCTAAAGGATCAGAATCTCAGTTCAGAGGATTGAAAAAAAATTAAATGTGTTCCTTTAGTTTAATGACTATTATGAGTCTTCCTTACCCAGTGTGGTTGTGGAAGGACACCTAGAAAGTGTGCAGCCGATGGAAATGAATTTCCCAGAAATGTGGCTCTTAAGCAGAACCACCAGGCAAGAGCTAACCTCTAGGAGCACCCTGGTGGAACAGAGACCTTTCCAGAGCTGCTCATAAAGATGGGCATTCAATAGTGGAGTGGTAGACAGTTGATTTTTTGATGGAGAGAGATGTGGAATGTGTCCGTTTTCCAAGCAAGGCGAGGAATGTTTTATTTTTTCAGGCAAAGTGACACTGGGTGGTATGAGTGGTGCTTTCTGAAGAGCTGCCTGCATGCCAAGCTTCTCCAGTGTACAGAATCTAAACGCTCTTTGTAATTTTCCAAATACAGTTGCAGGTGCTCACGTACATGCAAATAAAAGGAAGGTCTTTCCATTCAGTGTTTGCGTGAGTGTGTGCATATAGCAAATAGATAGCCGGTATTCAGAAACTGACTGGGATTCTTCCAAGTAGTACTTCTTTTGTAGGGATATTTTTCGCCCGCTCAGAACTCAACGAGTAATATATATTTTTTTGTTGCTTGGAAAATGCCCACCCCTCCCTTCTAGCAAGTTCATCTATGTGAGTGGTGTGTGGAAAGTGGCTGCATAAATATTGTAGGCATTGATTGGCAACTGGCCCTTTTCACTGCCATTTTATTGATCTCTCTCTCTCTCTCTCTCTCTCTCTCTCTCTCTGTGTGTGTGTGTGTGTAATTTTCTCCCTCTTCATTGTAAACATTTTATTTGTATTCTTCCATTTTTCTTTTAAAGATCAAATCAGGTATGGCCCTTCTCTTTATTGGGGGTGGGAATCCTCACAGGGCATAATAGGAACTTACATTCATTGATTAAGCAGAAAGGGGAGAGCTGTAGGGGAAGGGATGAGGAGGGCATGCAGAGACATCCCATTCCCCATAATAACCTGGTGTGATGCCAGCACATAGGAGGAGGAGGAGGAAAACAGGGTTATGTCCCATTGGAGAACTCTCAGGGTCTGAATGCTTTGCGCACATGAAGAACCTTGTACCCTTCACTGCTTTACTGCGATTCTTTTGAACTTCTTTAGAGGCTTAGTGCTCCCTAATGTACTGCTCATGCATAGAGTATTAGAACTTAAACTGGTTGAAGCTTACAATTTCCTACAGCTGTTGAATGGGAATCAAAGTATTATTAGTATGCTGTTATGCTGTTATGGCAAAGCTTACTGTCTAATAATAATAACCTTAATAATGATGATGGTGATGATGTAGTGTAGAGAATTGGGAAACCTTTCGTATAATTTTTTTAATACTTGAGCAAATTATTCAAAAGATCTATCCGTTGGAAGCCTAAAATACGTTATAGCATATATAACTGTACAGAGGCTGATTTTGGTTATATAGCACTAATAGGACATGAATAATAATTTATTTGTAGCTGTATTTTAAAGAAAACCAAATTTCAATATATAAAGAATTCTGTGGTCTTATACAGTGGGACTTGTGTCATTAGGAACGAAAAGCTCCCTTGGGCTTTTCATTTGAAGACGCCCTTATAGCTCTGCCACCGGGGCTTCCATCCTTGTTTCTTGCAGTGGGAGTGCTATGCCAGGGAGCCAGCACACCGGCTGAGGAATGGATCATAGAAGCCAGTAGACTATAGCTTCTTTGTCTCCTGTGCCAGGATTTTAAAGCAAGAAGCTACAAACACACGTCAGTAGCAGGCCACAGGATTGTACATCAAAATAAGGAACACTACAGAAGCATGGAATCCATTCTGTGAGGTTCTATGGACAATCACTAGACTCTGCAGGGTTAGCAACATGAAACTTAAAGTGCTCTTGTTTCAGACATTGTAATCTGAATGCTAGAAGTACTTTATGGGCTTGAAGGCTCAGTCACGTCACAAATGTGTCTCTTCTACTTTTAAGTGAACCCCCAAACATTTCACTGCAAGGTCCACATTCTGAATTCTGTTTCTGCTGGGCTAGTCATCTGTTCTATGGCCTTGGGCAAGTCCTTCAGTCATTGTCTTGCTCACCTGGGTCCACTGAAAATTAGTCTCCCTTCTATGGTGTCAGAGGCAGCTTCCACACCCAGCAAAATGAAGTGGTGAGGCTTTCAGGGCAGGGTCGAATGTTTTGATACTCCCCCATGAAGGGGGGGAAACTTCCTGGTAGGTATAATACTAGCACCTAAAACTTTTGAGCCTTTGCTGTGAGTAGGGAAGGGAGGAACATGTAAGCATGCAATTCTGCCTGTTAAATAAAAAGGTAAAGGTACCCCTGCCCATACGGGCTAGTCTTGCCAGACTCTGGGGTTGTGCGCCCATCTCACTCAAGAGGCCGGGGGCCAGCGCTGTCCGCAGACACTTCCGGGTCACGTGGCCAGCGTGACAAGCTGCATCTGGCGAGCCAGCACAGCACACGGAACGCCGTTTACCTTCCCGCTGGTAAGCGGTCCCTATTTATCTACTTGCACCCAGAGGTGCTTTCGAACTGCTAGGTTGGCAGGCGCTGGGACCGAACGACGGGAGCGCACCCCGCTGCGGGGATTCGAACCGCCGACCATGCGATCAGCAAGTCCTAGGCGCTGAGGTTTTACCCACAGCGCCACCCGCATCCCTGCCTGTTAAATAGCTGTATATTATACCTGCAGCCTGACCTGAAAAGCTTTACTGCTTGACTATCTTGATTGCATAAACTGGCCCTGTGCAGAAATCAATCATGCTTAATGCATGTGTGAAGCCTCAGCCCCCTTAACATACGTTTGTTACTGCTATTTAATTTGTGTATCCCTGAGTTAACATTTTATGCAGTTGATCTTTCCCTCTTCCTTGTTGCACCTTTTTCTTTAGGTTGGTCCAAAGCTTGTGGCAACAATGCACTGGGCTTCTGTTCTGATTATAGTTGGCCTTTGCCGAGTGTCCTTGAGCCAGTACGACGATCAGTATGAGGACATGGCCTGGCTACAGCACTATTTACGCAGCCAATCCTCTTCTTACAGCTATTCTCCATATTACGAAGATGAGGTTCCCCCATATTCTTCTTACTCTTATGTGCCAGCTGGGTCCTCTGTTGGGGAGCCTGTCCCTGAACCACCTGTTTCCAGGGAATGCCCCCAAGAATGCGAATGCCCCCCCAACTTCTCTTCTGCTATGTATTGTGACTCTCGCAACCTCAGGTATCTTCCTTTTGTGCCTTCCCGGATGAAATACGCCTACTTCCAGAACAACCAAATTGGGGCTATCCAAGAGGGAGCCTTTGACAATGCTACCAACCTAGAGTGGCTTGCGTTGCACGGCAATCAAATAACCAGTGAGAAAATGGGAAAGAAGGTCTTCGCCAAGCTCAAGAACCTAGAGAGGCTATACCTTGACCACAACAACTTGACCAAGATGCCTACCCCTTTACCACGGTCACTGCGAGAGCTTCACCTGGCTTATAATCAAATCTCCAAGGTGCCATCCAATGCTCTTGAAGGCCTAGAGAACCTCACCGCCCTCTATCTCAGCCACAACCAGATCCATGAAATTGGTTCAAACCTCAAGGGGTTGAAGTCTTTGATTCTTGCAGACCTGAGCTATAACCAGCTCAGGAGAGTCCCTGATGGCCTTCCGATTGCCTTGGAGCAGTTGTATCTGGAGTATAATCACATACAAACTATCCCCGATGATTTCTTCAAAGTCTCCCCCAAGTTGCTCTATGTACGTCTTTCTCATAATAGCCTGACAAATGAAGGAGTCTCCCCCAATGCTTTTAATGCAAGTAACCTCCTGGAGCTAGATCTCTCGTACAACAGGCTTCAGAAGATACCACGAGTCAGTACAAGCCTCGAGAATCTCTATCTCCAAGGAAACAAAATAAATGGTGAGCAACAGCATTCTGGATGTTGGGTGATTTTAGAGTTGCATTTTAGAGTTTTTAGAGTTGTATTGGAACACAATATGCAGGCTATTTTTTAATGGCAAAAACAGAGTAAAGTGATTAGGAGAATCTAGATTAGGGACCAGTGTCTCTCTGGATATTGCTGGATGACATCTGCCACATTCCCTGACCACTGGCCATGGTTGATGGGGCTGGTGGAAGTTGGAGTCCAACATCTGGAGGACCACAGATTCCCCACCCCTGGCCTACAGTCTGCCCTCTTGGCTCTTTGGAAAGCCAGTGTCATTGTCAAAGCACAAAATGAGAGCAGTGTAGTTGAAACCAAGAAAAATGAATTTTGTTCCTGTCTCTGGATTCCTAGGTCACATGGTATGGGGAGGCATCAAAGGGCATCCCCACATTTCCAAAGCCCCCAGATACTCAAGCAGGTTAGGGCAGAAGCAGAAATCAGAGAGAGGAACTGTGTGGGAACCAGTAGCCCTGCCATGGAGGAGCAGACAGGCAGATATTTGTTCCCTGCCACCAGCCCATCGGCCAGTTCTTATGATCCCAAGAGAACCCACCTCATGGGTAATGGACTGGCAAGGGCCCTGGAAGTGGACATGGCTGGAAAGAAATGGATCAAAGGCATGGAAAGGGGCCCTTTAAGAGAGGCATAAGCGAACTCGGCCCTCCAGGTGTTTTTGGCCTACAATTCCCATGATCCCTAGCTAACAGGACCAGTGGTCAGGGATGATGGGAATTATAGTCCCAAAACATCTGGAGGGCTGAGTTTGCCTATGCCTTCTCTAAGAGAAAGGGCTACATGGGGAAAGAAAAATAGCAGAGAGGTGAGTCAGGGGCTAGGAGAGAGGCAGGGAGAGAAAACCAAACGAGGGGACCTTTAGAATCATAGAATTGTAGAGTTGGAAGGGACTCCAAGGGTCATCTAGTCCAATCCTGTGCAATTCTGGGATCTCAGCTAAAGCATCCATGACTTGTTCAATCCAAGGGCCACATTGTCTTCTGGGCAACCTTCTGAGGGCCACATGCCAGTGGTGGGCAGAGGCAAAAGTGAGCAGAGTAACCAATGTGAATCTTACCTATGTGCCGTAAGCTAGCTTCTACACACTTACAAACACCCCTCTATTGACTATCCAGGCAAGCAAGAATCAATATCTGTGTTCAAGGGCACATTCCAGCCAGGGAAAGCATTCAAGGAAGGTGCAAAGGAAGGCCAGTGAGGTGTGTGGCCTGGGTAGAAAGGATATGGCTGAGATGGGGGGCAGGTGTCTTGGGGAAAGTCCCAAGGGCCAGATTGAAAGGACTGGAGGGCCACATTTGGCCGCTGGGCCTGAGGTTCCCCATCCCTGGTCTAAGGACTCAGCTTCATTAGTAAAGAAAATGCATTTTATATGTGTTATAACACTGTGACACCATATGGCACTGTGGAGTCCAGTTTTTTGCCAATGTGATTTCTCCAGTCTAGGAGAAGGAACAGAATGGAAGTAATCTCACTCCCTTTGGTTGAGGCCAAAAAGACCAAAAACTTCCTCTGTTCCACCCCATCCCTTCCTCACACCCTGCCTTTGCCCACAGTGTTTCCCTTCTATATGCATTTTTCTACCATGCTCTGATCAATACAAGAATATGGTTCCAACACCAAGTGGCAGCTTCCTTTTAGGTGGGACCTATTGCTGCGTTATTATTATTTTTTAGCATCTAGCATATGATTGTTCAACATGGTGCCAGTCACCATAGATGCCAGGGACATCCTCATGATTCAAGGAGAAATGATCATATGGGGGAAAGAGCCATGCAGTGGGTGAAATATAATGGGTGGTATTCTGCTCCCATGTACACATGGGTGTCTTAAAATGATGACCACAAAAAGGAGCAAAATAAGTAAGTTTGTGTAATGCAGATTAGATAGAGAGCAAAACAACTTCTTCATCTTAAAATGAAGATTAATTTGTCACATAAGAATCAATTCCGTTTTTGATTGACCTAGCTTTGCATAGCTGTTGAAGGATCGTGGTGTTAAGCCTCCAGACCAATTATTGGTTTTGCTTCATTCTCCAGGACTTGAGAAGTACTGCTGTGCATTTTTATTCAGAAGTAATCTGCAGTGTAATAAGAATTCCTTCAAAATAAGTGTACATAGGACTGCAGCTCTAGCTGCCTTTAATCTTTCATCTACATTGGAATTCCCATCAAATGGTTAACATTTTATACCCTTCCTACAACAGGGTTCTTGTAGAAGCATTAGCCCCATAGAATCAGAGTCCTAGAGCAGGTGAAAAAGAATAATTTTGTATGGGAGAAAAGTCTAAAAGCAGAATTCGTGTGCCACTTTCGGCAATGTTTGGGTGCTGCTAAAATGTCCACATCTGGAAGAGTCCATAATTAGTTGGATATCTTAGTTTGTACATATCAGAGGTTCTATATTCACATGAAATAGAAAATTGCAGTGTGTTACATACTGTGAGCAAATGCTTCAAATTTACTTCTATTGCATGTGAAGAGGAAATGTGAGAACCTGAAAGCTGATACAATAAACCATGGTTTAGTATTATGTCCAAATGTGGCCCATGCAAAGAGATAACCTTAGCAACTGTCGATCTCCCTTGCAGTTATTATTGACTACTATCCTTGGACAGTTAGAGAGTGTGCTCTTAAGTTATGTGGAGATGGCATGTTTTTATAGCATGAGTCCACAAATGGCTACTAGTACTTACAGTTATTTACTTACAAAGCTCTTTTATTTGGAGATCCTATGCAGATCTGGGTACTGCATGAAGAAAGCTGATGCTTTCAAGAGTAATGGCATTTCTAAAATTAATCAATTTTCTTTACGTCATTTTGTTATTTAGCTCCAGATTTGCATGGAGTCCAAACCGCATACAAATCAACTGGGCGTATTTTGAAAAACCACATGTCTGGAACAGGGAGTGGGGAGCTGTGTCCCTCCAGATATTTTTAGACGCCATATCCCATCAGCCCCAGCCAGCAGAGCCAATTGTCAGGGCTGGTGATAGTTTGATTACACAACACCCAGATGGACACAGGTTCACCACCCCTGGTCTGAAGAGAAATACATTCCCTATTGGTTGGTTCACACCTGTTGAACTTGCCAAGACTTAGGCTCCCCACAAAAAAAGGCTGACTCTGCTCTGTTTAATCAAATAGCGGTGCCATCAGTTTTGGGAAGGGAGAGGCACAGCTTTGCACTTGGAACAGCTTGACAAGTATTGCACTTGTCTCAGTGTTTTGCTTCAAATCTGTGTGGCAACGAGGCAATCTCTCTGGATTTCTCTTTATTTATTCACTCATTTTTCAAACCATTCTGTAGCTGACCTTTAAAGTTTTTTAATGAGTTTCTCAGAAGACCTTTGCTTTTTTCCATAGTAAATGAGGAATGCTGCAGAGCAAAAAGACTCAGTAGCTGAGTTTGTTTATATATATATGTATATATAGCCCTGGTAGCTGCTGGGCTTTTAAGTTGATGGTGTCTTTATCTCTTGGCCAGAATGCTGTTCTTTTGAGGCACATCTCAGATGAAGAATAGCCATTTGTCTTTCTCCAGCTCCCTTTCATCTGAAAATCTGAAAGAGGTTCACAACCTCTACACACTTCTGCTTAGGCAGAAACTAGGCAGCAGCTAGGAGACAAGGCTGGAAGTTGAAGGCAATTTGAAATAAGGGACACTGCTTCTGTTGTGTACATTCTGCCACTTTTGAATCTGGTAATTAGGTTTTGCAGGGATTTGTTTTGTTTCAGAAATCTACTAGAACTGTTTCAATGCAGGCAACATAGCATGGCAAGAGATATGTGTGCATGGATGCATGGGAAGTGAAGCCTCACACAAACTCATTTCAACTCCCTAGAAAAATATTGGCTGTCTCCAACCTAGAGATGTTGGAGCATTCAGATGAAAATGGAAACAAGAGAGTAAATTGGTGATGTTTGCTGATTTGTCTCATGTCTAGAATAGAAATCAACCCAACAAATACAATCAGTATTCACTGTTGTTGTTTTCAGTCTGCAAATGATGCATAACATGTAATTGATGACTACCCCCGTCCCGATTTACAACGTGTTTCATTTCCATTGGAAATGAATGGGGAAATGTAATGATAATGTAATTCATGGCTGCATATACAACTTCACCATAGCAGACGGCAAGATGACTAACATATTTTTGTCAGAACCTGAACTGCAGCTGAATGGAAACAGCACTGCCAAATGCAGAGCAGAGCAGAAACCAATGCCTCCTTAAACCCCTGTACCAGCCCCATATCCTTTCCTACATATCCCATACGTTATATGATGACTGTGAACTTGCCCCATGGTCATGATGTTTAACAGCTCACAACATCAGTGAGCCTCCCTCCTTTCACTGCATGCAGTTATTAAAGCAGGTGTGCAAGGCAAGGGGAGGATGTGACCTAGGGAGAGTGCTGAGGGCCAGGTAGAGATGCCTGGAGGGCCACATCCAGGCCCCAGACCTGAGGGCCACCCCCCATTAACCAGATAACAATACACTTGTTAATGCCCATATGACTTAGGTTTCCTTTTCAAAAGTGTCAGAATCTGTGCAAACATGCCTGTGCACTGAGGGAAGTGATCCTAAATATACCTATAGGGCAGGGGTGGGAATCTAGGGCCCCAAATGAGTAGTATGGACCTCAGACGCAGCAGGGTTGACTTGCCATATTTTGAATCAAGTGAAGCAATACACAGGGGCCCCCATAAGCCCATTAAGTCCGGAGCCCCAAGTTACCTAACTGCACCACTGCTAATGGATGCTAAAAATGACTCTAACTAGCATATGCTCTGCTTAGCACCCCCACCAGAAAAAAAATTGTAACAAAAATATTAAAAGTGAACTAAACCATGTGCAAACTTACTGCTGTAAAAGACGTGAAGAGTTAGGGGAGAGTTTAGCTGAGAACATTATTGAGATTTGCTGCTGATATACTACTATATAGTGCCATCAGTGTGCGTGATGCTTTATAAAACATAAGATGCCCCAAGGAGCTTACAATCTAAGATATGCAGAAGGTAACAATCAGTGTGAACATGACACTATTCACACACAGTATCTGCAACTTGGGATTATCCACTAATTTTCAACACACTAAAGGAATTACTTTTCACCAATACAATAATTCACTTGGGAGATTTATTGTCAAAAGATGTTTGTTCAGCCATGAGAGTAAATGTATTTGCAAATGATTCTGCGAGTGCATGGAGAAGCGTGCACTTTGCTTCATGCTAGCCAAAAGGTCAGTCACCAGGTTCCAAGAGAGTGTGGTCTGAAGGCACATGGGATTTGCTGAAGGTAAGCAAATCAGTACCTGGATTGTAGAGCTCCTGTGAACCATATGTTACACCACCATGGGTTTCACGGTGGAAGAAAGGCAGGATATAAACCTGGGAAAACAAATAAGGTATATATTTAGCAACCAATAAAAGATGGGTCTCATGCCTAGGCAGCAAGCTTGCATATGGCATCAGTCAGGCAACTGTGGGAAGCCAGAATGCTTTCATGTGGACTGCTGGCCTGACTCAGCCAGCATGGCAGCTTGCAATGGCCTTGCATACTTCTGCTCTTCCCCAATTCTCGTCTTGACTCACTCTCTACATTTTACTTTCCATAAAGAGTTTCTTGCACAGCAGCAATCATCCAAGGCATATCTGGCCCAGCCAGCAGCCTTCCCCTTCCTCAACAAAGTGTGAAAGATGGACTCTTGCATTTCCAAATCTGTCCAGTGTTATACTGCCCTTACAGCATATGCAGTCCCCCCCCCCCCCCGGTTTTAAAGCAGGAGCAGCTGTTTCAGGGAAATGTATAAATTTGCTGCCAAGTTCTAGACTTTGGTTGCCCTCTGGCTGCTTATAAGAAGCATTGCAGCAAGACACACACCTCCATTAATCCATTTCCCCGCACCCCGTCTTTGAATCTTTCAGAGTTCACTGAAGGATTAGGGGTGCTTCTATTTAAAAAACAACAACAGAGAGGGATGCTAGAGCTTGAGTCTAGTATTCTGCATGGTCTCCTTGTATTCTCTTGACAGCAGGGAATTCAGCTTCCATAAAGCATTGCTGTCCTTCATATAGTGCCCATCGAGATGCAAAGCACTTTATGGAGTAAACAACAAAAAGACTGGGTCCATTGACAGGAGAAAGGCAATCAATGAATGGAAGGAAGAAGGAAAAGAGAGTAAGCAATAAAATAATATACTAATAATATTAGTTCATTTACACAAAGGCTACATTGCACACCATACATATGAAGCACATTTAAGGCACATGATTCGCCCCAAGGAATCCTGAAAATGGTAGTTTCTCGCAAAGCTATAATTCCCACCACCCGTAACAAATTACAATTCCCAAAATTCTTTAGGGGAAGTAGTGTTCTTTAAATGTATGGTGTGTATGCAACCATTGTGTTAACTAGAAGCAGTGCTATTTTTCTAGAAAAAGAGGTGCCGGAACTCACCATGAACGCCTCCCTTGTTCTCTTTTAAGGGCAATGGCGCCCACCTGAGAGGTGCCGGAACTGAGTTCTGGTGAGTTCTGGCTGGGGGGAAAGCCCTGATTAATAGTAAGAATACTTTTTAACCCTTCGTTAAACTTCTGGATGCAGATCTCAAAGTGGCATATTGCATACGAGAGAGCCTAAAGATGGCCCCAGACTGTCACAATTTTATGGGAGGGATTCAAGTGTATCGGAACTTTTGATTTGCACAATTAAAACTCTGCCATCCTAGCACAAGAAATCTACCTTAAAAAGATCCTGACTTTTTGTGGTTTGGAAATGGATGAGGAAATGCTTTGAAAATTGTGAGACAAATAAATGATTAAGAGGAAGACATGTAAACACCCCACAAGCCAATCAGGATTAATACTCATTGGCACATAACCACTGTAAACAAATGGGGGAGGAAAGCTCAAAAAAGACTAGACATAGACTAACTACCATGCAAACTTTATGCAAGCAAATCTGGTTGAATGCTTAATAAACACCCCAGGAAGTATTGCTGGGGTGCTTCCAGGGGTGGATTATTTAACAACACTGTCATTGCTGTTCAGCTTTAAGCTACAATAACCATTCTGCCTATCATAGAATTGTAGAGTTGCAATGCAGGGATCTCAACTAGATCATACATGATAGATGCCCCTGTGAAGCCACAGTGGCTCTGACCCACTAGGGCCAGCCAGAATATCCCCAGTGTCAGAGAACTCCCCCTCTGACCTGCTGCGTCTTTTGAACCTCACAGCCCCCCCCAAAAAAAACCTCTGCTTAAAAACCTCCAAGGTTAAGTATTCTTGACTACTAACATTCTGTAGCCAAGTGGACAGTCCCAGCTTTCCTCAGCCCCGAACGTTGGGAGAAGGCGGGGGGGGGGCAATTCCAGAAGAAATTACAGCATGAAAAGTGTGTACTGATGTAATTGACAATTTATTTTCTGGATCCCAGTTCCTCTGGGGAGGAGGAAAGACCGTCTCTCAGTCTAAAAGATGGAACTGAGTTGAATTCAGAATGCAAAAATGCTACAGTGTATAAAATGTCCCTAATCCCTGGTATTTGTGATTCTTCATGGAATAGGGTGCAATTTAAACTGTGATTTCTCTATCATCCATGAAAATGGCCTAAAACGTTAGGCCTTCAAAAATATTAAATCCTCCAGCAGCTCCTGCTGTGTCAGCTTTATGGCAGGAGCTCAGCAGACTAGCTAAAGAAAATCTGCTCTTTACTCAGGCTTCATCCTCGCGGAGACGTCAAAGGTCAGTGTGCTGAATTTCCAGCAAATTACCATGATAATTTTACATCTGGTACCCTTGCTTCTGCAAAGCAGGTGGTGAGAACGCTACTCTTGGGGTGTATACAGTTTTAGGATAACTGCAGCTCCTCAGGAACCGGTTCATTCCTGGATTGGGAATTAGATACTCATGCAGTTGTTTGCCTGTGTGTGCATATAGTTCATACAGTGGTACCTCGCAAGACGAATGCCTCGCAAGACAAAAAACTTGCTAGACGAAAGGGTTTTTTGTTTTTTGAGCTGCTTCGGAAGACGATTTCCCCTATGGGCTTGCTTTGCAAGACGAAAACGTCTTGCGAATCTTGCGATTCCCCCCCGCTTTCCCCCCCCTTTTCAAAGCCGCTAAGCTGCTAATAGCCTTTTAGCAGCTTAGCCGCTAATCCTTTAATAGCCGCTAAACCGCTAATAGCGCTAATCCGCTTAGCCTCTAATAGGGTTGCTTCACAAGACGAAAAAACCGCTAGACGAAGAGAATCGCGGAACGGATTCTTTTCGTCTTGCGAGGCACCACTGTATTAACACTTGAAAAGCACTAATCCAGACATTTGGTTAAAAGAGCAGAAGTAATGCGAGATTCCTTTCTTCTTCTTCTTCTTCCCAGAATTCACCATCAGCAGCTTCTGCACCATCGTAGACATCATGAATTTTTCCAGGCTACAAGTTTTGAGGTTGGACGGGAATGAGCTCCGTCGGAATAACCTGCCCTCCGACGCCCCACTCTGCCTGCGATGGGCGAGCGTAATAGAGATTTAGCCATTGCTCCGGATCCTTTCCTTAACCCCTTCCCTCCTTACAAGGCCAGACCCCTCCTGCGATCACACGGGAGCGCAGAGGCCGACATTCTCAATTTTAACGCAGCTTCATTTGACTCAGCTTCTGCATTTGTATAATGTAAGGGGGGTTGATAAACTAGATCCAACAGATGCTGCCCCATTATTAGCCAGTCAGGTGACAGCAACTATGCAGGCAAAAAAAATAATATTATTATTTTTGCCCACCTTCTTTCAGTCTCCTGTTCTTCAGCAACTAATCAGTTATCTGGTCTTCATGCTGTCAGGCAGCATGTATCTCTCCATTTAGGTGGGTGGTAAGGCAAGCTTTTGTTTCATTTCACATGTATAGCTTTAGAAGTTTGATGCCAGCTGGGATGCCTTTGGGATTTGTTTTTCCTTGTAGGAGGGTCGCCATGAGAGAAAGAGTGTGTGCACGGTGGGGGCGGATGAGATTGAATCCAAACAAAATGAAAACAGATTAAACAGTTGCCCACACAGCAAGGAGCAATTAGAGACCAGAGGGTGGGGAAATGGAGAAAAGAGAAAAGGAGAGAGAAAATTACTAACATGAGAGGATCCAGGTCTTTAGCTGGTTTTCAAAGATGAATAGAGCTCCCCTGGTGATGACTTGGCTTTTTCTCCCCCTCTTTTCACTTTATTTGGTTTTCTATGCTGATTAAAAGTCCTACAAATAAATGCAATAATGTAAGTTATCTAATCTTAGCAAACTAATATCATCCACAATGTGTTCACAATTTACCCTGGAAAGACACAAATGTATTCTGATATTCCTGCAGTTCCAGAGGGAGCAACTTCCCCATTCTTTACCATCCTTACATTTTCCTCAATTTAACAACCATGTATTATTCTCCCTATTGATTTTTAATTCTTATTTCTTCCAGTTTTGTGCAATCTGTAATGTTATAACAGAAAGATTTAATCCAGCGGGGATTTTGACACTGTTGCATTTAGATAAATAGCAGCCATTGGATCAAATAATAAAAGGGTACCCACAATCTAATATAGCTTTTATTGTTTATACGTGTAGGTCCATCATACATGTAGAAAATTTCCTCTGTCTGTACCATAATTGTATGAGGAAAAATGCTTTCATTTTCAGAGGAAATAAATTTTTATGGATTTGTAAATTTTTGATAGCATTAAGCCTCAGTTGGGGCTTCGAACACACTGCATATCTTTAATCTCTTCCAACCCAGACAGGAAAGAGTTTTTTTCCACCCTCAGCTATAATGCAGTTCAGTTTATTAGCCAGTGCTTGCAGAAGACATATTACTTTCCATGCACTCCTTGGGTGCATATAAAGAATGCTGCAGTTATTGAAGCAACATTCCTGGCCTGTTATAAAATACAACATGAGCCAAGCTGGCATTAAAATACCTGGCAAGACTCACCATCATTCAGTAAAGCAGATGAGTTGACTTGCCAGCATAGCATGAGAAACTGGGGGCTTTATAATTGTACTGCTCTGCAAGTGCCCATTCAGGTATTGCAGTTCAATAAAAGTTGTATCCCAGATTGTTTTGTACAGCAGAATCCCATTCTAGCGTCCCATGTGTTTCATTGTATTTGTTGTAACTTGTTTGCTTAGCTATAGAGTCGTCTCAGCTGAATTTCATACACATGGCAGCACCAAGTCTTGCTCTAAGAATGTATGCTTCTTTCGTCTCGAGGTTCTCCCCCCTCATTCACTCAATCCTTTCATTTGTGTGTGGCTCACGGAGGAGAGGAGACGTAGAAGGAGGAGCAAGTGAGTTTTACGGGGATCTTGGGAAGCTCAAAATGCCATCGAAACTGCCTTGTGTTTAAAGTGTATGCTGATAATATAAAAGAAATATATAAAAGCATGAATTGTAGATATCATTACTGATCAATAAAACCCTTTTTGTAATTGCATGGGACGCCTTCGAAACTACCATTTACCAGGTTAGATCTGAAACATCTGACGTGATCAAGGAAACAAATGAAGCCTCCCTTGGATGATTGGAAGAGATTAAGGTGGAATCTACATACATATAAAAATCGTCCTGATAATGCTTTTTTTTTAAAAAAAAAGTGCTTTTAAAAATACATTGAATCTTCCATAAGGCTCACCATCGCTATCTAGTGTAACATTTTATATTGCACTTAAAACACACTTAAAATGTTTGATTTGCAGCTGTATAGTTGAGTCCTGAACTTGTTTCTTCATAGGACATTTAGGGAATCAGATACTTGTATTTGTAGTTACTGTGTCCCTTCTCCGCATAGCCACCCACACATGAGCCCCAGCTCAGCAGGCCCGGCATGAGCACGATCAGTGTAGACCACGCAGACAAAGGTGGGAGATCTCTCTAGGAAACTTCTCATATCACATTTTATTCTCTAGGAAAGGGGTCTGGTACTGCACTGCAAACTTCTTGCTTTAATGTTTATGGCCAGACTGGAAGTGCAGCAAGATGCAAAGACAGACACACCTTTAAAAGGGTCTGGCGATCACTGTGGTTGTAAAAATATGTTTCTTCACAAAATAGCCTCCTGTTTAGATTATCTCTAATCAGTATTCACACTGGAAAATTTCCACTTTAGAAACTGAGTCAGGATTGGGAGGTATTGCACTGTGTGAATTGCCTTATCACTGCACCCATTCGTCTGAAATTTGTCAGGCGTCATCTACTTATAAAAGTAGCTAATGCAGCTGCAAATTGCATCCAATCCTGTCAAAATGTAAAAGAATTACAGCTATGACAAAATAATAATAATAATGGAAAATACAACACTTCAGCTGAAGAAAAGAAGTGAATTATTTCCAGATAAGTGTGCACAGGAATGCAACATAAGGCACCTTGAAGTGAATAGCAACTTGTTTCACATGCAGCAGCTGGCGAACTTTGCCTTCAACTGTTAAGTATGGTGACATTCCCCACTTTACCAAATGGGCCACTGCTATTTGGAGTTTGGAAGAGAAAGCACAGAGACATGTGCTGCTTTGTGATATCAGATAGAGAACATAGATGGAGGCAACTGGCATACACACTCCTACCAGGCAATAGAGATGCTATCCACCAGAGAAATATACCTGCACCCTACTCCCAGATGCCTCCAGCTACAGCCCTCTGCCTGTGTCTTCTGGTCTCTGCCTGCCCCTGCAAAACACTGCTGCTTCTGTTGCCTCACACACAGAGACTTTATGTCCATCTCCTCCTCCCAGCAAGGGTGAGGGGGAAAGGTTCACTGTTAGCCCCACCCATTCAAATCACTCCAAGTCCTTCAGCTATTTCCTGACCTTTTAAATTGGTTTGTAAACATCAGCTGCAAGGTTTAGGATAGGGTTGCCATATTTCAAAAACTCAAAAGTTGTTGAGCCAAAAAAAAAACACCGTTTCTTGCCTTTTGAAAATTCCTCCCGGATGTCAGTTCCGCCTTTGAAATCCCAAATGTATGGCAGCCCTGTTTAAGAATACAATATATACAGTAAGCAGAGCTTTCAGCAATCTGCAACACTGGCAAGTGAAGACTCTATCAATACTGCTTAATTAATTTCTAGAAGCTCAGGTTCATATGTGTCTGAAAGGAATATCCTCTGATCTAGAAATCTGCAGACTTTATCTGCATACTAAATGGTGGTTTAAATGCATTCTGATTTTGTTCAGGGGTGTTTTAAATGCTTCAGATATTCCTGGATTAAGCCTTGGCATTGAAACAAGATGCCAAAACTGAGCTTGGCACAGATTCCACCATGCCCAGTAGCCATTCTTGGTGTGGGAATAAGGGTGCTGCAAGGAACCAAAAGCATCCTTACTTTTATTTCTGAAACACTGGGAGGTATGCAATTAATCAGCAACAGAAATCATGTGATCTAGTTTTGCCCTCTAGTGGCAGAAACTTGGCACTTGCAGCAAAATATCAAACGCTTCAACGCTGAATAAATCAAGTTTGTTTCTTATATGCCACAACCCTACAAGTTAACATACCTACTCTTCAGCCTCTTTTTGAACAGTACCACATGTCTGGGTTGCTGCCAGTGGAATTGTGTGTGTTCTCCCAGCTGCGTCAACTGAAATATAGTGTCCTGGTCAAGGTAAGTAATAATACCACTCTATTCTGCCTTGGTCAGACCACACCTGGAATACTGTGTCCAGTTCTGGGCACCACAATTTAAGAAGGCTATTGACAAGCTGGAACGTGTGCAGAGGAAGGCAACCAAGATGATCAAGGGTCTGAAAACCAAGCCTTATGAGGAAAAGCTGAGGGAATTGGGTATGTTTAAGCCTGGATAAGAGGAGACAGATATGAGATATGATAGCTATCTTCAAACATTTAAAGGGTCATCACGTAGAAGATGGAGCAAGCTTGAAGACACTGTCTACTTTAGCTGGGCAGCTGCATCATGGGTCACAGCACTGAATAAGTCAGTGAAATTATCTGTGCCTTGCCTCACTTCCTCTCCTTAAAGGAGGGAACATTGCTTCATTTCACCTTAGCTGGGCAATCTCAGCTGAGATGAAGTGGCCAGGGATAGAGATGGAGGAGAAATAAAAGTAGCATTTAAAGGTGAAATTAGCAAGTTTGTATTTTATTTTACAATACACGAACTGAAACACAGGCATCCTTCCAAATTTGCACTTCGCCGAATCTTGCAGTGCAGTTTCTCACCCAAGTAGGTGTACATATGCCAGGGCAAAGTGGCCACCAAAAAGCCTATATAAGTGAAAACAACATCCAAAACACAATATATTAAAGGATATTGCCTTGCAAAAATGTGCATATTAATCCAAAGAGCACACTAAACTGTTTATTAGAAGAAATTTTCATTTTTAAAAAATATATATTACAGATAGTTGCAGAAATGTGGAGAACTAAACAAATCAGTCTGAATAAAACAGGTTGTCTGGAAAATCCTCCCATCTTAACCCCAAGCATGCTCACTAGGCCGAGCCTAAAATACCCTTACCATTCCTGCCACAGGTTGGGGCTAGCTAATGTTTAGTTTTTCCCTCCCCACCTGCTGACTAAAAAGCCATGAGGGCCTTGCTGAAAATCCTTTATAAACAGGTCATACCCTTTAACAGACAGGTTGATCCCATTATCCCTATAGAACTGAGCAGTTGAAAGCTTAATCCCTCCTGGAAGGGCAACAGGAGCTTCCCTAAATCCCGCTTAACTCTCCATCTATCTCTGTCATCTTTTTTAGGGCACTGAACCCCTTTCCAAACCCACTTCTGCAGCATTCCAAAGAAAAATGACATTTTCAGTGCCCAAGTCCTTCCCACCTCTAAATTGTGGCCTCACCTGGTGGCTCATGGACAGTCTTGTCCTCAGGACTTCGGGGAAAGACCAGGTGACACAAGGTGGGCAGCAGTTGATCCTAAAACACCTGCCATCACCTCCCACTTCCACTCTGGCCCACTTGCCAAACCCCAGTTGCATTCCAGTTAGCGATGGATGAACCTGTCAGTTTCAGTTCCTCTCATTTCCTCCTTTTTCCAATCTTAAATTCAGTTTGCCCAATTTCCTCAACAGTTTGCAAAAAAATAAAAATAAAATAAAGTCCTCACAAAAATCAATATTCATTTTCATACACATTTTTCCTAATAGTACATTTTTTGTACACAATTTTTCCTAATATAGCTATTTTTGCCTTCTGTTCCCCCTAACATAATACATTTGGCAGTGATTTCATTAATATACACATTTTGTGGTCACTCTTTTCCCTGATATATACATTTTTGCATTGTTGTTGTTGTTACTACAGTGGTACCTCTAGTTACGAACTTAATTGGTTCCGGAGGTCCGTTCTTAACCTGAAACTGTTCTTAACTAGAGGCGTGCTTTCGCTAATGGGACCTCTTGCTGCCAATGCACCGCCGGCACACGATTTCTGTTCTCATCCTGGGGCAAAGTTCTCAACTCAAGGTAACCCTTCCAGCTTAGTGGAGTTTGTAGCCTGAAGCATTTGTAACCTGAGGCATGTGCAACTCCAGGTACCACTGTATTATTCTTTTAGTCTGCTTGCCACTCCCAACCCAGACAGCCACTCCAGAAGATTGCCATGGTTGATAGTATTGAAGACCTCTGAGAAATCAAGGAAAAGTAACATGAACATACTCACTGTCCCTGTCTCCCAACAGAGATCATCATGCAGGGTGACCGAGGCAGTTTTCATGCCAAAACCAGACCTAAACCCCAAATGAAATGGAACTAGGAAACTGGTTTCATCCAAGAAAGCTGGATGGAAAGCTGCATTGTGAAATTCAGAAACACGTGTATTTTTGAAGGATAGCTGTGTTTTGATTCACAAGTCAGGATGTGTGCATTCAACAGGCTCACATTAAAACAGAAACTGAACGGATTTCTCCCCCACCCCAGTTTTAGTGCTGGAGTGGCTTACACACTTGTTCACCCAAAAGACAATAGAATGGCCACATATGAAACCGAGTAGAAGCTGTCAGCAAACATTGGTTGAAGAGAACACAGTGTTATCTTCTGTAAATAACAGAGGGCCATGTGCCCTCACCTAGGCATCTCATGATGCTCTAGAGCTGCCTGGTCACCTCTTATGCCAAGATTGTCATGGGCATAAGCTTTGGAAGGCTACAGAGTCCCACCTGCCAATGTGTTTGATGCCCCACTCTCTAAGGTCTGCCTGCACTACTGAAGTGGTGGCCCAAGACTAGAAGGAATGAGACCCCAAAACTATTTGGCCCAAGCATCTCAGCAACCAGGGCAGACCAGATCACTGCCCAAAACTGGTATCAGGTTAGAAGCCCGCCTTTCTTTCTTTCTTTCTTTCTTTCTTTCTTTCTTTCTTCCTTTCTTTCTTTCTTTCTTTCTTTCTTTCTTTCTTTCTTTTGCTTTGCTCACCCAACTTGACTTTGTAAAGTTTGAGTGATAGCACCAGGCTAAGGGGATCACAA